TGATACGAAATGCACAAAAGAAAGTCACAACGTTGAAAATTTAAAAAATATAGTAAAAAACGACCGAAAAAACTACGAGAACAACGAGAAAATTAGCGAAAGAAATACGAATGCATATAAATATGCTGAATATTGCTGAACGTCAAAATATTACTCGTTTTCTGCTATATTTGTTTAAAAAACGCCAGCGCCCCCATCGGTAGTCGAAATCGCCAATTTCGGTAATATTTTTCAATTTTTTTTGATCGGTTTCCCTGCATATAATGGCATGTAATATTGACATGAGTTGAAGAGGGCGCTTCTGTACTTGGAGCTCTTTAAATTTTGGCGCGTAAATATTCGATTGCAATTTTAACCTCAAAAGTTAAGTTTGATGTGCGGTTTCAAGACAAGTTGACGCTGACACTTTTAAAAATATTCTCTAAGGGCCACTGAATGCTTTGGGCGATATTTAAACTTATTCATTGTCTATTGTTCATATATTCATATGTAGTCATCTTTCCTTCTACTCAATTTAAGCGGTTTAAAACTATTGACATTTACCGCCATAATTTGAAGCACTCCAAGTTCACTCGCGCCCTCTAGAAAATTTTGGGGAACTTAACTGGATATTTGCTGCCATTGTGTCATTCTGCCTATATTGCATCTCAGCTTTGTAATGTTATTTTCAATTCTAATTTGCCATTTAGGTTTCCTATGAGATTTTTTGTTTATTTTGTGTTCTATGATCTTTTGATTGTTGCATTTTAAGATGGTGATTGCGACAGTATTTTTTTTTTGCCGAAATGGCATTCGTACTCCCTCTCTCGACAGAGGGGAACATTCACTCATCCCAGATATTTACATATCAAAAGGATTGAGCTCTGGTGGGTCCCTTTACTCCCTTTCCATGTTATCGGGCCCATGCTGGAGCTGTATTTGTAAGCCACCCATAAACTTACGAACTACTCGGGATGTTGCGAGAAGCACTGCCTTTTACATGACCCTGAAAAGACGTTCATTAAGGCCAAGCTCCTTAATGTTCTGGAGCAAGTTCTTTGGGATAACTCCTATTGTTGACATAATGAAAGGCAGTTTTCGGACGTTTTTCATTTCCCATTGTCTCCTGATTTATTTCTCTAAGCTGCGATTGTTTTCTATCTTCTCCGCATATTTCTTATTTAAATTATGAGTGTTCGGTTTTCGGTATAGCCACACTAACTGAGTTGTATTTCTTGACCTTTTATCGAATAAGATCTGGCCTATAATGAGGATTAGTTTGGTCTGTCAAAACAGTGCGGTCCCAATAGAGCTTGCATAAATTATTTTCCAAGATTGGCTCAGGATTTTACATATAATATGGGACTCTTTGTTCCTGCGAGAGCTGTAATTTCTCTGCTAGTTCCTGATGCAGAATTTTAGCTAATGCGTCGTGTCGCAGTTTGTATTCACTCGCAGCGAACATTTGACATCCTCCTGTTTCGTGCTGTATGGTTTCCGACACCCGACAATCATACCTACAACTATCATCCAACACTGCAGCATCTCTCACTATATATTTTAAATAGTTTCTGGTTGGGATCACGTCCTGATCTTGTACGGCTATAATAGAAAGCCCTCCGTCTCAGGAAACATCTGTCCCGAGGCCAGCCAGTAGTTTGACGCTATGCTGTCGACGTATTATTATTATTATTATTATTATTATTATTATTATTATCTAAACAACAGGAACCGATGGAGCTGCTGTTTATATAGTTCTTAAATTCAGAAGATTGATTTTTTAACGAGTCCACAAAATGTTTGTTTAGTAGTTTACGCAAAATAATGAATAAGTCTTAGACATCAAACTGAGATCACTAATCTCAAAAATAAATGGATAAACAAAGAACGCTCCTAATGCTGCTAATTTACAAGGTCCTAATGTAAACAACTGGAGCTGGGACAGCTTTGAGCGTAGGTACTGTGCGTGCGCAAAATATAGCCAATGAAAATGAAGGATATTTCAAAATTTAGAACAGTTGTTCGAAAGTAAGACACTGCGCAGGCGTTAGGCTGTTCCGTTGCAGAACTGTTCGTAGAATATTGACCCCAAATTTTCGCACAAGTTTAGCGAATCAAGCCATACGATTATTTATCCATTTATTTTTGAAATCATCAGTGACTGAGATTGCTAGTCTATTTTTGATCGAGTTGGTTCTGGGACCTGTGACTGTTTCTTCACTTAGTGAATTCCCCGTCTAGATCAGCCTATTCCACAAGAAGTTTCTTCTGAGAAGTTTAGAACATCTTTCTAGATAGTAGATATCCTCATCGTAGCCTCCTATCACGTAGGGTAGTTATATAGACCGTCAGATAGTGACATATTTAGGTGCCCCATTTTCGCATACGAGCCTCGAAGAGGGTTGAAAAGTACATCGATTTTGAGTAGGATGAAGGTATTTTCACGAGTGGCTCCCGGGGATAACATATGGAAAATTTGATTTTACTTATGTTACCCTAAAATGTACTTTTCCATTCGCGACACTCGAGCCAATATGTTTTCTTGCGACCAACGTTGTAGATTTTCATCCTTCCGATGGGCTTGTGTGGAAAAATTGCCCAAAATCTCGATTTTTTCCTTGCAAGATTACTCCCTTATTTCAAACCTTTAGCCACCTGCAACACACCCTTCTTTGTTTTCGCGAAGCCAGGATTTATTATTTAATCCTTTGGTGAACATAGCTTGCGAGAAAATATGGGCACCAGGACGTCTTTCATTTCTGTTATGGAAAATCGAATTTTCCATACGTTATCCCCAGGAGCCACCCGTGAAAATACCTTCATCCTACTCAAAATCGATGTACTTTTCAACCCTCTTCGAGGCTTGTATGCGAAAATGGGGCACCTAAATATGTCACTATCTGACGGTCTATTAGGTTCAACTCCTTCAGACGGACTTCCATGTGATGTCTATAGAGTTTCTACTGGAATTTCAGTAATTCTTCTCTGGACTCTTCCCAATGCCTTAATGCCCTTAGCATCATAAGGATTTTAAACTGACTGGCTATTCTCTAGTATAGTATGAATCTGATGTAGGACTTGTATATTTTTATGATTGTAGCAACGGAACGATTCTTGAATATTTTTTGCGTCACGTCAGGTAGGCCAGATAATTAAGTAGCCTTTTTAATACATTTTGAGATTTGTGTTTCTGATTTTAAATTCTTGGTTACAATGACGCCAAGATCTCTCTGTTCATTAGTGGATATCATCGTTATGTTATTAAGTATATGTAATCATATAGGGGGATGGTGCTAATGTGGAGTACAGTGCATTTGTTTCGTCCATAAATAAATGTTAGTAGATTGGTTTCTGTTGATCTTCCAGGTAAAAGTTCATTCTGTGAAGACGAAAGAATGTTGTCTTCTATTAGAAAGTTTGGCGGTTCTTCGGCGACCACTTTTTCCATAGATTTGCACGAGTTACCTACAAGTAAGACTTATAGGACGATAATTTTTTGGAGAAAGCTTGTCGCCTTTTTTATGAATTGGGATGATGTGGGCTTCTCCCGATTTTTCCGGGACTCTCTCGCTACTCATCAAGTTATTCATTGCTCATTGCGTTCTGACAACATTTCAACAATATTTTTGCAAAAATATTGTTGAAATGTTGATATATGTTCGTTGGTTGATTGCGTCATAGTCAGCAGTCCAGAAGTTTCTTTTCTTAACAGAATGAGTATGCATTCAATTGTGTATTTGCATTCTGCTGGTAAGACTAGATGATCACTTAGTCCTAGGGAGTTCACTGCAGATATTGTGTGTGACATTTACCACTGCTAAGTCAAGAAGTGAATGATGAACTCCTCTAGTCCGGTAGAAAAACTTATCAGTTGGTAGGTATTCATGGTCCGATATATATCAACAAAATCGCTGGATGCTTGGTTAAAATGCTTTAGCGTTAAACTTTTTCCGTCAATCTCAGGGTAGTTGAAGTCGCCAAAAATAAAGGTATAGACACTGGTAGCGCCATTGCAGTATCCACTAGGTTTTCTTCTTGCGTTAGTTAGTTGGGTCTATAGATACATGCAGCAATAAGAAAATTTTGTTTGCGGCTATTCATAAAAAGCTTGTATTAGAAATAACGTTAAACTTAGAATCTACTGTAGTGAAAACCTTGTTACCATTTAAACTCTCCTTTACATATAGATGCAAACTTCACTTCCTTTTTCATTTTCTCTGTCGTTTCGAAATAATTTAAACTGTGTAATGTTTATTAGAGAATCTGGAATAGAGCTGTGGAGGTTCTCTGTTATCAATAAAAATATTGGGTTTGATGCTATGGATATTCTAAATTTGTCAATTTTTGGCAAGGAATTAGGCCTCTATAAGAGAATTTAATAGATTTTGAGGTGTTGTTTTAAGCTTCAAGATAATCCTTAACCATCCTTGGACATCTATTGAAGTATTTAATTTTCAGGCTGCTTTCACCTTCGGCACATCGATTTTCCAATTCTTGCAAAAGCGATCTGCGGAATTTTCTATGTAGTTCTGTGAGATCATGTTTGATGTACTTGCCTTTATCGTTCGAAATTTTGTTCTTGTTCCTTATGATGATATTTTGGGCATCAGCTTTTGCTGGTAGGATTACTTTAACAGGGCGAAGATAATTAATTTGGTAGGTATCTTCTCAGCCTAAAGTTCTGTATATTAACTAAGGGTACCTACGTCTTCCGAGAGTTTTTTAATAATGTTTGTAATTGAGACTATCGTCTATTTCATTGCAGTTTGTAGCTGTAGGTTCAGAACCGTAAGACCATAGGGTTTACAATGACTTTGTGGTCCTAAATCTCGATTTGAGCTATCAACTGCACTGAAATAGGAAGTCCAGTAGAAGCTGTCGATTCCTTAACCCTTCCAGCATCATGTTGAGCTTCACTGACTTTCGAAGACACTTTTCCTTTAAGTTTATCCAAGTCATTTTACTTCCTATCCAACTATAAAAATTCATGGTCTTTTAATAATAAAAAAATTCTGTTTCAGTTACAACATAATATCGAAATTCCTACAAAAAACTTCGAAATGTTCTCCAAAAATTTGCGAACACGTGACCAAGCAAATAATGCAACCTGTAATAAGCTCAGCTAACAAAAACTATCCAAAAACCAAGAAGGAACCAATCGAAATGATCAACATAAAAGATTGCAAAAACCTTGAACAAACTCTGAAGTGCTCAATAGGAATCCTGGAACGACTTTTAGCAAACATCAGCGAGACTGGATCGGAGGCTCTTAAATATTTTTCGCATCTATTACATTCGTGTGAAATTTTGAGCATATTGTCTAATAATATTGAATCTTCTATGCAACTGAATTGCGTGATGACGATTTTGTGCTTTTATGGAATCACTGAACTTTTTGACGGGATAACAGTTGTGAATCACGATCCTCTAGTTTTGAGTGGCTTTTTGAAAATTGTTGAAAGAGAAATGAGAAAAGGTAAGTCAAAGTTTTAACGGATGACTTTAATATCAAATGTTTTTTTTCAGAAAACTTAAAAAGTGTGTTGGAGCTCTTTTACTACGCTCAAAAATACTGGGACTGCATCTCGACGAGAGTGCCGAAACATTTTCAAAATGGCAAACCGATAGATATTAAATACGTTCTGACGGCATTTCAAGTGGAACCAATAATGTTGCTTGGCGAAAAGTTGCTGCAGAATCCTTACTCCGATGAAGAAACTGAAAAATTATTCAGAGATATTTCGCTTAAGGCCATGACTAACAGAATGAGTGAGGAATGTGTGAAATTAGGTACCTATAAACTTTTCAGTAAAGTAGTCATGTCTGGAGATAGAGGTGGCCATTCAGATGTTACTTTAAAATACAGTCAAATTCTATGCTCAGAAAATATCTCGAATTTCTTCTTCCACCACATGGTTTATAACCTCTAATTCTTCAATTCAAGGTTACAAATTGCGCAGTGAATACGCAAAAGCTCCAATGGGAAGTGAACTAACAGCTTTCAAATGCATCATCAAATCCAAACCGTTGTATTCCCGCGAATGCCTCGCATTGGTTTTCCAAATCCTAATATACGGTTTCAAGGATTTTGTAAAATATGTTAACGGAGACGCGAAACTTGCAGAAATCGAGCACAACCAACTGATTGGTGAAGGTATGCTGCAAGCTATTCTAGTATTTTTGGAGGATTTTGATTTGTCTTGGAGAGAGAGCCTGGGAAGTTTGGAGCTGCCCGGCTTGAACTATGAATTTTATACTTGTACAAATAAATGGAATCCAAATGTGGTTTTATTGTTTTTAAAAATCTTAGATATTACGATATCGAAAAACTTGTCCGCGAATATGGTTTTATTGGTAGATTATAATTCAGACCATGTGGATGGATTGGATAATATGGGAAGCATGCTTTTGGGAAAATGTGCCAGTCATAAGGTGGAAGTAAGGGAGGCAGCAATGACGGTGGTGTGCACGATTTGTGAGAAGGTCAACGAAGGTAAGCGATAACTTAGAAATTTTTCTCCATTGACTGTAAATTATATTCTAGGCTTTAAATCTTTTGAGCGAATTTTACTTCACCATGTAACTTTAGACATCATACTGACTATAGCGACCAGTGATTTTATCAACTCAATACGTGCCATTGCTCTCACTTGTCTTCAAAAAATGATTGTTATGAATCAATTTGAAGCGTATTTTTTAAGCTCACCATTTATTGTAAGTATGATAATCAATTTGTGTGGTGATTAATTCTAAATTAATTTTCTAGAATAAAATTATTGAACATATCGCCAAAGAAAAAGACCCTAATGCTCTGAAAGTATCCTTGAAACTAATCAGACAAATTTATGAGAATAATTATAATAAAATAACAGATAATTTAGTACAAATATATAGTTTAATGTCTAAGGTAGCTATTGAAGGAGAAAATATGGACGTTCAAGAGGAAGCTGTTAAATTTTGGGAGTTTGTAACGAGGCAAAATTTGGAGAGACAAGGTAGAAAAAAATTGATTTCTAATCATTTCTTTGCTACATCGAATTTATTTTTAGGCATGATTGATGATGATTTTCCCAATGTCACCTTTTCAAAAGAACAAAAAAAAATAATTCGATTAGACGAAAAAGAAATCCGTAAAAGACTATTTCAAGCCATGGATAGCATGAGCAAAACTGGTTGTTTCAACGTTTACCGACAAATTTTAGTAAACCCGGATACTCCGGCGAATGTTTTGGCAACTACTATTACAATAATCACAAATTTTTCGAAATTATTGAAACGATACGACGTCACTCGTGAATTTATAACGTTGAATCAAAACTATCCGAATCTGTGGTCGATTGCTAGTAACATAGAATCGCCTGCATCGAATTGTGCCGTTAACGATGAAAGCTTGGGAGAATTGATTGAGGAAACTATGATGCAAATGACTGGTGAATTATCTTTTACTGAAATGGTAATTTTTTTAATAAGTGTATCAACTAAATTGGCTTATATTTTTTTAAACTTTCAGTTTCCTTTGCCTTCTAATTTAAATGAAGCAGGAGAGTTTTTAATGTTGAAAGATCCAGAAAATCCGATAGTACAAGTTAGCCCTGTTGATTTTATAGAATTTATTTATAGAAAGTTGCCTAGTCTGAGAACATAAGTAAACCAATCATTGATAAAGACAATAGGAGTTTTAATTCTTCAACTATAACTATTTTTTCACTATAAATTTTGAATCTGAGGAAACTAAATAAAACATGTCAACTTTTTGAAAGTATTTAAGTGCAAATCAATTGTGGGCTGAGTTTTGAATCCAATCTCTAGAAAACACCAATAAATTCAAGTACAAAGACTGTAAGCCGTCTTTTATTTTTTACTCTAAGAATGTGAAAATTCCTAGTCCAACAAAGTGATTTCGTGTATTATGTAACTTTTCTTAAGGTCATCAGTTTGTAAAATATTCGGGGCTTGTAGAGGAACTTTTAAGGTGTAAGATGAATTAAATTTAACATCAAAATTTTATAAATACTGCCGGAGATATTTGAAGAAAAAAAAAACGAAATTTTGCAAAATAGGTTTTATTGTTTCCTGATCTTATTTAAATGACACTTCATTATTGGCGCTTTTTCTTAGCCTTAAAGACCTGCCTTCTTAGCTGGGTACGACTAGGTAATTTAGGTATGGTCGAGACTGTGAAACTTGTGGATGAAGGTCTCGTTTATAGCAGCCATCTCTCAGCGTTCCCAAGTTTAGACCTACGAGAACTATGCCCTTAGGGAGGCCGTTTTTTTAGTGCATCTTGGGTTTATAAAACATTCTTACATTACCGAAGGGCAATAACGTATTGATAATCTAACATGGTCCATCAGGGACGAACATCTGCGGTGTTAGGATTTTGATAAATCTTCTTGAACTATTCGGTGGTATTCCTTTTCCCATATCCTCTCTTTAGTGGACGCAGCCAAGAAAAGTGGTGGCACCGCTGACCACAGCCAACCTACGCGTGACTGTCTAATGGAAATATTGGTATTTTTTCTTAACCTTGTCATGATTCAAAACAAAAAAATTAATACATATTTTTGCAGAAAATAAATTGCTGAAACTCCATTGAGGTTTTTAGGCATTTTACAAATTCCCCAGTCGTTTTCACTAGGTCAAGGTTTTCTTTAGGTTCAAAGCCCAATCGTTCAAGTCGCATTTGCGCCATGTTACTCCAATGCACAATTATAGCAAATTTGTTGCCACAAACTTCAACAACTACTATTTATTGCATTTTAACAACAATTACCAATAATATTCTTGATAATAAACGATAAAAATCGTGTTTCCATTTTGGTGGGTTTATTTTATCCCGCATATAAGCTGTTTGACATTGAATCCTGAGTTGGTTTTGATGTGTGTTGTCGCGTCGCGTTGTTTAATTTTTATTATTACTTGCTTTTAAATAGGTAAGTTTATGTAATTGAATATACAACTGGTTTATTTAAGCAGCTTGGATTTGTCAATTTTCAAAGTACTTAATTTCCTATTTAATAAAAATTAAGAGTATTTGGTGAAATGATAGCAAACTATTCTATTTTGGTAATAAAATTGTTTTTTTTAATTATTGAAATCAAATTATATTTGAAAATATTGATGTGTTAATAAATTACTTTCCCAGTATTTGATATCGACACCTCTATTAAACATTGAACGTCATCCACTACGCAGTTTTAAAAGCTCGATGATGATGAATACCCATTATACTTTAGAAATAAATTAATAATGGATCTATTTTTTTAAATTGTGGAAATAATTAGTGTCCAGGAAACAAACACTTTTAATATTCCTACCATTAGGAGTTCATTTGAAACAAAGTACCCTCAGGAATCCAGTCCTGAATTTTCTTGTAGTAGGTATGTGAATTAATAAATATAAACACATGTATTATTATTATGTAGTTTATCATATAAAAACATTTCAAAAAATTTTAAAAATCCACATTATCAGCAGATAACCACAACAAAACATTGTAATAATAATTTTTGATAACTTTGATTATATTTACACACACTAAATAGTAAATACCTACGATAAAAGATAATGCGCAAATTAGAAATAGCTATTTATGCAACAAGTGTGTAGTAAAGTGAACCTTTTTTCACGAATGTGAAGTTAGATGCACAAGTCGCAGGCGAAAGCAACAAAAACATGAGTGAAAAAGGCTTTACATTTACACACATGTTAGGAGCGATTCTCTAAAGTAAAGTGTCGTCCAGAGGGGCTTTCCCAAAAGAGATCATTGCACTGGACGACACGAAGACTGAAGACACCCAGAGGAGCTGTCCCAAAAGAGGAAATTGCGCTGGGTAGAGACTTGAGGCCAAAGGAGCTTTGGGAACGGGTGCATTATTATCCAGTCAACAAAAACGATGAATTCAGAAAAAATATAAGTTTGTTGCTTCAACCTTGAGGTTTTTCTTGGGATGGGTACGGTTCTGCGTATCCTTTTTCACCATGTGGGTTCGATTAGGTTCTGCTCACCATTGCATCAATGGCCATTTGGTGCTCAGGTCCATGTCCTCAAATTTTTTGTCCTGGCGGTTTGGTCAGCTAGGTCGTGGGGTGTACGGTCCCAGGGTCTAAGTGTCCGTTGCCTGGTTTGTTATGCGTTATGCCCCTTGTTTATTGATACAGACATGAGCCCCTACTTAGTTCAGAGCTACCGCAAGGTACTGGTTCACCTTTCTGTCCTGGTTGTATATCCATTGACTTGGTCCGTCTCTGGCTGGTCCTTGCATATGTTTGTTTACATGAAAAATGAAGTAACGATATAAGTCGCACAAAATGAAGCCAAATCTGGTAATCCTTTTTTCACGATTTACTCCTAAACTATGTTTTCTATCCTATTTCTTAACTATCTTATATCAAACTTATATCTAGGCTCTGCCTGCTAGTCTGCTTTTTGTTTCTTGTTGCGTACGCAGTCTCTAATTCTTCTCCATATTTTTTCCTTCTAATAGCTATGCGAACATACTAATGACTCCGGACTCCACTGCCACTTCTGCTTCTTAATGTTCTCCTAACTTGTTTCGTCATTACTATCGGATGATTCTACTTCCGACGCACTGTTTTCCATATTTATCTCATCTTCTGAATCTCTATTGACTTCTTCCATAGGAACGCCTTCTGTTCACTGGACGTTGTAAGGCAACATCCCACTTACGTGGACCGTATCTCTATTCCTCTTTTTGCTTTCATTTTTTCTATCTCGTAATTTACTTCTCCCATTTTCTCAATAACTTTATATGGTCCAAACTATCTCAAAAGCAGCTTCTCGCTGCGGCCAACCTTTCTTATTGGGATAAATACTTTCACTTTGTCTCTTACTTCAAAATTCAATTCTCTGTGTCTCTCGTCGAATCGCACCTTATCTTTTTTTTTTCCAACGCGATAGCTCTTTTTCTTCCTTCCAATCCTTCCTCAGCGTCCATAAGAGTTGCCTCCACAGGTAGTATGGGTTCTCTTGCGAAAGCTAGCATAAACGGACTGAATCGAGTTGTGTCCTGTCTGGCTGTGTTGTTGCAAATGTAATAAATGGTAGGTAGCTGCACCAGTCCCAGTCCGTCTGTTGTGTATTGCAATACATCGATAACATATCCGCTTTAGTCTTATCCAATCTTTCTGTTAGGCCGTTACAGTATGGGTGATATGCCGTCGTAAACTGTCTCCTTACTCCCATTATATTTCCTATTTCCCGCACTAGCTCTGGAAGACTTTTCCTCTATCACTCAGTAGGTACGCGACGTGGCATCCCGTGTATTAGAAATATTTTCTCTAGTAAAAATTTTGCTACTGGTCTTGCTTTTCTATTAGGCAGTGCTGCTGTGATGGCGTATTTTGATGCATAGTCGGTGACTACTACTATCATTGTTTTTCCTTGGTTGCTTCTTCTGAACGGACCTAGTAAATTAATGTCAATTTTGTCAAAAATCGTGCCTACTTGTATTGGTTGTAAGAGGCCCTGGGTCTTTCTGGTATGGTTGGCCCTTCCTCGCCTGACAGTCTGGAAACCCTTCAACATATTTCTCCATGTCTGTTAGCATTCCGTCCTAGGAGAACCTGTTCTGTGTTTTGTCTGTTGTTTTTCTCAACCCTAAGTAGCTGCATATCGGTGACGCGTGCAGTTCCCACAGAATCTCTTCCCTCATTGATTTAGGTACCACCCAGTACCTTGCTGAGGCCTTTTTGTGTTTTGTTTACTTTTTATAGTAAATCATTCTCGATTCTAAAACTTTTTGTACTTCTCCTAGCTCCGATGTTTATATTTGAATCGTCCGGGTTTTCTACTGCCTCCCTGATCTGTCTCAACTACTGTGGGGTCTCTCTTCTGTAATGAACTTATTTCCATTGTTCTTATCGCAAATGTTGGTAGTTCTTCTTGTTCTTCGCTTTTCTGTAAATCGGGTTGCAAGACTGGGTTACGGGACATGAAATCAGCATCTTTGTGGATTCAGCCTCTTTTGTATTCAACCGTGTACTCAAACTCTGCCAACTTCAATATTGGATGCGCATCTCCTTCATCGTGTTCTTGCAATAGCACTGCCCCAATTCCACATATTGCTGCATCTGTGTATAGAATAGTATTTCTATTTGGGTCAAAGTGGTTTAGTACTGGTGTTGATGTAAGTTTTTCCTTAAGAGTACTGTAAGCTTCCTCCTGGTTTGTGCCCCATTGGAACCCTATGTTTTTCTTTGTTACGTCATGTAATGGTCTTGCTATTGCTGCGAAGTTGCATATGAACTTTCTATAGAAAGTACATAATCCTAGAAAGTTTTGCGCATCTTTAACTTTCTTTGGAGTTGGGAAGTTCCTTATGCATACCAGTTTATCTTCGTCTGGTAGTATGCCCTTTTCGTTCACATTAAAACCCAGGATTTTTATTTCTTTTCGTAGGTACTCGCATTTGCCGTGTTTTAGACTTAGGTTTGCCTGACGTGAACTTTCCATAACTTTTCTTAATTTTGTCAAGTGCTCTCCGAACGTTTGGGAGAATACTATTATGTCGTCCAGATAATTCGATACTTCCTTCCATTTCATGTCCCAAAAAACGTAATCAGCTAATTCTTGGAAGGTTGCGGGAGCATTACATAGTCCAAAGCTGAGAACATTAAATTCCTAGGTTCCGTGACCTTGTGCTAGGAATGCGGTGTACTGTTTGGAACTTTCTTCGACGGGTACCTGCCAGTATCCAGAAAATATATCAAGAGTTCTGAAAGAGGATGCATTTCCGAGATATGACAGAATATCGTCGATTTGTGGTAGAGGGTATCATGATTTCTTTGTTACGGCAATAACTTTTCGGTACACAAAAACGGATTTTCCCATGTAGAAACATTTTCCCATCTTTTTTCTTTACTAGGAACACCGGACTAGCCCACGGTGAATGACATGGCCTTATTACATTGCTGTCTAGCATTTCTTTTATTTGCTCGTCGATTATTTGACTTTCTTGCTGGGATACTCTGTAAGGACGGCTTTTTAGTGGACTTGCTTCCCCTACTTCTATTTTTTTGTTCTATCAGATTTGTCTTTCCCATGTGGTTTATTGATTTCGCAAAAACGTCATTATATTCCAGTAGTAGTTCGATAGCGATCTGCCAATTTAGTGTCCAGTCTGTGGTCGTCTAGTGTATTCCCGTTCCACGATTTCCTCCTGTGTTACTAGGTGATAGGCGGGGATTTTGTATTCCTTTCCCTTTCGTAAAGCTATTGGATTTCTTGTGTTGGATTCTACTTTTATAGTGAGGCTCTGCATAAATGTGTGTTTTCAGTGTCAGTCGATTTTTTGCCAGACAATTTAGATTATATTTACATTTGTTACCCACTGTCTCGTTTAGGTGGACGGTGTTGCCCATGATTTCTAATTCTATTGTCTTTATCTCATTCTGTGTCATCATGTAGTCCTTTTTGGCTCCTATTTTGTGTGCTTTTGTTTGGGTGTCCGTGACTATTTGTATTAGAGACTCAATTCCACCTTGAATTTTTGACTCTATCTTCTAGAAGTCTGGTTTAACTCTCTAGATGCTGACTTCGACAAATGTGTCTTTGAATACAAAATACCGCATCTGCTTGAATCTTTCCCATTTTTTTTCCAGTCCCCATCCTTGTCTAGGAAATACCAGTTTTTTGAAGCATTGCTCTCTTAGTGCTATCAAACATTCATAAATGTTTCTTGGTGGGGGATGACACGAAATGTCATGAGCTTTAAAGTCCGTCTTCTCTACATCTCTGTTCTCTACTTATAATTATTGTCATTCCTTGAGCTTATCACATTAAAGTTTCAAGAATATTCTGAAGTTTATTTGAAGAAACCTACCCAAGAACTTACTGTAACAGGTTTTGTCTGCATTTTCTCTCTTACAAAAAAGAACACTGTTGATTTTCTGTCGTGGTTTTTTACTGATACTGGCCCGACTGTGCCCTCTGCTTTCCTCCTAGAGAGCATGTGTCTGTAGGATTTGTAGACAGCTTTCTTTGTTTTGTAGTTTCGTGTTACCCCGAACACCATGGTGGCATTATTGCCTTGCAGCTGGCTTCTGTGTCTGATTTTTTCTTTTAGGAAGCTGTTCACTTCTCCCTTTTTTAACTGTGAATGGGCACTGAGAAATTTGTCAAATTCTTTTTCATCTTTTTCGTCCTGCTTGTGTTTGTTTATACCGGTTGGGTTGTTGTAATGAGGCTGGACAGACTGATTGTTTCATTTAATTGTGATCATGGTGTAGGGATATCTTGTATACATTATTCAGTATAAGCAATGACCTCCGCCGGTGATTAGGACTCTATTGTCGTCTTTTTGAATTTTTTCTGTTGCCAAATTTCTTTGCATGACGTTATTTTGGGCTCCAGTATCTATTATCGCATTTATGTTCTCATTATTTATTCTAATTGTGATGTGCAGGATTCTCATTTTATCATTGTTCCTTAGCGCTAGGATAGCAAAGGCGCTCACTTTTGCCATCCTCTTCCGTTTGGGTGCTGTCGTTGATTCTTGCAAGTTATTGTAAAGTGACCTGGTTTTCCATAGTAACAGACTGCAGACTGGTGTGTTTCTATAAGTTCTAGGTTTCTCATTGTAGCTTATCCTGTGCTGCTGGCTTCTACACACCGATGCCAAGTGTCCTGATTTTCCGCAGTTATAGCACGTTATCCCTTTTCCATTGTTTTGGGCCGGGGCTGGTCCCTTTCTCTAGACTGCCTGTTGTCTACTGTAGCAGATGGCTGCCTTATGTCTCTTTTTCCCAGAATAGTAGCATGTGATTTCGTTGCTGCTTTGTTGGGGTGATCTAGTATCATATACGCTCTTTGTAATGAGGCGTGGCTACATTATTTATCGGATTTCGTTTGGTTTCTTTCCTTGGGGCTTTATCTATCGTTTGTGCAATTTCTTTAACTTCTTCCAATGTCGAAGGGGGTCTATTTGGTGGATTTGTGAGCCAGTAGTAGTGGTAGAAATTTTCTTCTGTCAGCCCTTCGCTGAAGATGGTCACAAATTGGTTGATATCCATGGTCTGTTTATAATCGTGGTACAGCACTCTTACTTCGTATAGAAAATCTTGGACTGTCTCGTCAGACGATTGTTTTCTATTTTCAACTTTCTTCTTTAGAGATGTTCGGTAGTCTGAATCTTCAAATTCCTTCGTAAGCTAATGATGTTTTTCCACTCTTTGTTCTGATAATTTATTTTGTATTCTTGAAACCACAGATTAGTTGCGCCGTCTAGAAAAGTCTCAAAATAGGTAATTTTGAGTGTCATTCCACCCGTTTACTATGGCCGTCCTTTCATAGGCCCCAAAAAATTCTGTCTCACTGCTTCTGCAAGGGTGGAAAATCGGAGGGTTTATGAATTGGAGTACCGTTGCTTTTCTCTCCGTTTGCAAGGCTTCGACGATAGTTGTATTGGATATTTTGCAGTTATCTGTGAGGATGGGACTTTGTACAGGCGGTATGTCTGTTAGTTGATTCACTGTTTTATCTTGGCTTCCTGATGTAATTCCGAGTGGTGATAGATTTCCGTGATATGCTCCCAATCAAAATTTGAAGATTGTGGTCCGAGAGGGTATGAAGACTTCTTCTGTGCTTCTATGGCTTGGCTTAAACAGTGTTTTTTTGCTAGGCGTGCCCTTGGATCGTAGATTGTATTTATCTTGTTCTTCTGACATTCGATTTATGTAATACTTTTTCTATATTCGTATTTTGATAACCTTACGCCTCCACCTATCGATCTATTGGTACCTACTACCATTGTATAACCAGGTTGTAGCGTGGTATGGGCGTTGGCTTGCTTTCAAGGCGTTGTTGGCGTCGGTTTTTGAGCGTCAAGTCTACGTCTTTTAAAAAGGACCTACTTGAAGTGAGTAGGTACCTACTCTGCACACAGTAGTAGAAAAACACATTGAAACACAAGATAAAAATCGGGTTTGCTCTAATGAACCATTTAGGTTTCACCCTCTATGGTTTTACCGTTTTATAGCCCGTCAAAGTTGCAAAAAAGTCAATTTTCAACAGGTGCAAATAGGACTTTGTACATGAGATATGTCACAGAGATATGTCTAGAATTTCAAAATGACATGCCTTCATTTATTTATTATTGAATTTATTTTATTTGGCTATAAATAGTTCAGGAGACCTTTTTAACAATATTCGAAATTTCTGGTATTTATAGTGTGAAACATGGCAGTAGTACCATCCCTAAGGCTAATAAGGACCCATTCAGCATGTTCCTGCCTATCATACACAAGAATCTTCGTCATGTCAGTTCCTCAAAAACACCGACATTATTCCTCTGGTACCTATAATGATTCTTAAACCCCAAAAAACTAAAATGAATATTTTCAGGTCCCACAGTAATAACTCCAAAAGACGAAGCACATAAGTTCATGAGAAACTGCCTTTTGGCTGTGGGTGCGACACCCGAAAATGCTGAAATCGTGGCAGATAATTTAATCGAAGCTGACTACCGAGGACATTACAGTCATGGCATGAACAGACTGGAAATGTATGTACGTGATATCGAACATAAGCTTACAGACCCAAAAGTGCTTCCGTGTACAATACAAGAAAACGCAGCAACGGCTCATGTGGACGGTATGAATGGTTTAGGGGCTGTAATTGGAAAACACTGTATGAATATAGCAATACAGAAAGCAAAACAGGCTGGAATTGGATTTGTAGCTGCCAAAAGTCAGTGAGGAAGTAGATTTTTTTTGGTAAAAATTGAATTTGCTTTTTTTAGGGTCGAATCATTATGGTATATCTGGAATATACGCTCTTCAGGCTATAAAAGAAGGCGTTTTGGGGTTTAGTGTTACAAATACTTCGCCCTTGATGGCCCCTACTAGAGCCAAAAAGGTTAAAATGTTTTGTAATAATGCTTTTATGTAAACGCAAAAATCATTCTTATTATAATGCTCATCAAAATTGACCTTTTGCCGCTGCTTGAAATTGATTATCCTCCTCTCATAGTTTCTATATTGTTAGTAGGAGGTTTATTTCTCATAGTTTTTATATTTCCTGTTTTTTTCATGACTTTAGGCATGTTTAGGGACAAATCCAATAGCACTGGGTGCTCCTGGAAAAGACGGAGACTGTTTCGTATTGGATATGGCCACAACAGCTGTAGCTTTAGGAAAAGTAAGCACACCATTAAAAATTGCATTAGTTTTATTATTAAACTTCCTCAGGTAGAATTAGCCATAAGAAAAGGTGAAAAAATTCCAGAAGGATGGGCGTTGAACGACCAAGGACTTCCTGAAACCGATCCAAAAGTCGCCTTTAAAGCTGCTAAACTTACGCCACTAGGTGGCTCCGAAATGCATTCAGGCTACAAGGGGTACGGATTGGGTATGTTCGTGGAAATACTTTCTGGAATTTTGGCTGGTAAGATAAAATTAGAATTTTTGGAAATCATGTTTCTATGTTTTCACCTTCTAGGAGCTGACTATGGTAATTATATAAGAAAATGGGGCAGTTTAGATAAATTTGCCAATTTGGGTCAAGCATTTATGGCGATAAATCATAAAGTATTCGCGCCTGATTTCGAAGATAGAATGCAAGATTTGATGAAGATGTTACGCGAATTGGAACCGGTAAGTTTATTATTATTCTTCTTCCACTATCACACATTTGGTTATTTGTTGCTGTGGTGGTAAAGAAAATCCACCGAGAGCAGACCTTGCTCCTGGGGTGAATTTCTATAGTACGCGGATAAAGGACTTTGCGCACGATATGTGTAGTGCTTAGTATAACAAATTTCTGGAGAATTAGGAAATTGTGGGCTCCCAGGATGAGTGATGGCTTCCTGAGTTCTTTTTGATATCAGTCCTGTTGCACCAATTACTACTTGAAATATTGATGTCTTCATATTCCATAGCCTTTTAGTTTCTATTTGTAAATCTTTATATTTAAGATACTTTTCGACTTCCTTTTTAGTTATGTTGTAGTCCGATGGAATAGCTACGTAAATCAGTAGGCATTGCTTGTGCTTTTTATTTTTCAGGATTGTTGGCCTGAGTTGTTCGGTCGGTGTGCACCTGCATGTCCCAGATGATAGTGACCCCCTTCGGGGTTGTCTCTTACTGGAGGCGGACTATGTTTATACCATTTGTCGTCTACTGGAATATTGTGGTATGTGCAAATATTCCAGTGCAGGTGAGTAGCAACCAGTTTGTTGCGATCGAGATACGCCTTTTTTGCCAGGATTGGGCAGCCAGAGACGATATTGTGAATGGTTTCTTAGTGTATCCGACATAGTCTACAGACCGGGTCGTTACCAGATTTCAAGATCCTTGTCTTTGTATAATTGGTTGCTATGTTATAAAGGCTTCGGTTTCTACCTTCAGATTTGTGTGCGTCAACCATTTCCACGTTTGTCTTTCATCGATTGATTCCTTTTCCACCTCTTTCAAAATTTGGCCATGCATTGGTTTTTCTCTCCATTTCTCTTTCTGTTCTTTACTTAATTTGTGTTTTATTCTTTTTTTAATTGTTCTCGTTTCAGGCTGCTAATATCTTCGGCCTCAAATTTATCTTTTCCCTTGTCCTTTCTTCTTTGGTTTTTAGTTTTGCCATTCATTTGGTTGAGAACCTTTTTAAGGAATTTGTCGTCAGCCTTTAGCTCTAAGTACCTTATAGGACCCGCGAAGGCAATAGAATAGCTTGCTTCTATATTGAGTAAACCGCGGCCTCCATCTTTCCTCGGGACATAGAGACGGTCAAGGCATTCGTTCAATCTGCGCTGTGCCTTATATGCGTGTTGGATCCATTCTGCGTTTAGGTTATGATTTAATTCGGCTTCCCAAAGGTTTCTCCAATGGTCTTCAATTTCTTCCTGAGGTGGTACTTCTTTTTCTATAGGTATTAGTTCTCTTTTGAAGAATAGTGTTGTAAAATCTGCTCCCTTTTTTCGTGAATTGTTTGTTGTGGTTGTATTGTGCAGATCTTTCTGTGTAGCGCTTAATTCGGTAAGTTTTAGCGGATACTAGTTTTTCTGTTATTTTTGCGTCGTCTGCTTCTGTTTTGATTTTGTATTTCATGTGGAGGATTTTCCTATTTTCTTTCATCTTTTCACTTAGCTCGGGATTTAGTGCTTCTTTCAACAATTATATGCCTTTTCTTACTTTCCCAATACTGCTTAGGATCCTCTTTTTTCACGATGGTTTGCTAAAATCTATCTTTTTCCCATTCTTCCTTTTTGATGGAGTAGGATATGGGTTCATGATTTCTTGGATTGTGGCTGCTGTAGCATATATAAGTTTATTGATTGCCGTAAGTTCCGAATAGTCTTGTGCATTTTTTTCGACAATTTCCTTTATAGCAAGGTTACTCAGTTTTATTAGTTCTTTTGCTTTTTTGTTTTCATTAATTTTCTTCAGTGGTGTTCTTCGGATCTCATTATCACTGGCTGTATCGTTCGTGTTGATTTTTTTCATTGAATGTTTCTGAAGCACTGGCTTCTATGGAAGTCTGTTCCATGGGACCTGATTTTGTTGGCTCAGTTGGCTGATACTTGAAACTTCTAATACTTCTGGTTCTGTGTTTTTTTCTGAATCTATGGGGCCGTTGATGTTTTCTTTGACTTCTCGTTGATTTGCTTCGATTACGTCGGATGTTAGTTCGCTTTGGGTGAGTATGAACCTTGTTTGGTTTGCCACTGTGTTATGGTTGAGATTACGGTTGGAATTTGGGTTTCTTCTCCTCCAACGCTGTGCGTTTGTTTGAGGTTTGCTGTTCCGTATTTTTCTTTTGTATAGAAATGACACCACGCTATTTCTCTGTATTCTTTTTCTGTCCATTTTTGTTTTTGTTTGAATATATCTGACTGTGTTTTTGGAGTAGTGTGTAGATTAGATTTCGGACGGCTATCCTTGTATGCGGTCTAGTGTTTTTCGGTACTTCTTCCTTTTTTTAAGGGTTGTTCTTCTATTATATTTGCTTGGTTTTGAGATGTAGCTCCAGTTTGCATGATTAGGAGTTTTTTTCCGTTTCTAAGAGGTTTTTAAGTTCATCGGATGGGATTTTGTTCTTATCGAGGATGTATATCCTTTGCGTGGGCAAGGTGTTGGAATTTAAGTCATGTTTACAAAGGGGATTTCTACTTTTCCAAAGTCTAAAGGTCTCGCGAGTGTCAACTTTTCCTGTTTATTCTTTAGTATGATAGTGACACCAAATAATCTCTTTGTACTCATCTAGGGTCCATATTGTTCTTTTGGATTTCACATTCTGCTGATCTCGATTAGCTGTTTCATTTTGATATTTCTGGCCTTTAGTGCTCATTTTCGTATTTTGCATATTAGTGGTATTCTTTGCTATCACTTCTCGTGTCAGTAGTTCGAAGTGTCCTTTTTCCATGTTACCGAACAAGATGAGGTCAATATCCTTCTTGTGATCGTTCTTTGATATGACAGTTGGTTTTTTGTCACTCGTGTACTGTTGCAGGTCGTTTTGTTTCTGCGTGGATTTGGGAGTTGGTGTCGTATAGTTCGGACATTGCCAGTATTTTAACACTTGTTCCGTAAGTTTTATTTGGTTCATGTGGTTGCAGTAGGATCCGACGTTTTGAAGATTTGGGTTCGTAATAACTATACCTTTACACAATCAAATTGAGAACAAACATTTCCAAATTGAGACTAAACAAAATCAAATTGAGACTTAAAACAATCAAATTGAGAACAATCAATTTCAAATTGTTATAACATTCGGCTCTATGTAATGTAACCATTGGAAAATATTAGTAAATGTAATTTACCAACAGCTAACATCAACAGACACATCAACGCACAAAATATGCTGCTCACATTCAAAGTATTAAGTATTCCAGATGCTTTGAACTTAGCTGATATATGCATTATGTAAAATTTCACGTTTATCCATAGAGTTGTGTTATGCTTCCTTTACTTAATTTGATTACTAAAATGAGGATTTTGTTCATATACCTATTTGAATAAGATTACTTAATAGGCCAGGGCAGATACATTTTCTCGTAACATAAAATTTAACAGCAAACTATCGATGCAGTATTGTTAAGGATCATTTATAGATGCTAAAAACCAAAAATGCAACATCTAATTACTTTTAGGGGATTTTATAAACAATATTAAGTGCAAAAACAGGGCTTTTTTTTTGTTTATTTCACTGTATTTCGAAAACTAATGATCGGATGGTTTTGCTACTATGGCAATAATTTTAGAGCATTGAACAAGCTTTAAAATGAGCCATCATAAAACCCTGTAGGTCTTTTAGTCTTCGAGAAATGATTTTTCCCCCCCAAAAAAGAGATTTTCGTAAAAAATTCCTAACTTTTTTAATTTTCATGCTAGACAATTAATTTTTTACATAACATAGTAGATGAGGCAGGCTTCATTGAGCCCAAATTTGGGCCCGGTCTGATGGGTCGTTTCGGCATAATACACTTGTCAAGCAAAATGGGGATGTTTCTAAAGCAGTCTGTCGAATTGAGGATAATTTTTTTATATTTATTTTGAAAAGTCCACTGATAAGTCGAAATGCCAAACTATCGATCCTCTATCTCAGATTTTTCATTTAATTTTTTTATCGCAAGTAAAACGGCTCCAAACATCACCGAAAATGGGAAAAAAATGTAATTTGCGTGGGCGGGGGGGAGCTCGCTGTCACTCCGTTTGAATTCCCGTCAATGTTTTCTATTTTCAGACATGTTCGAAGCCGTTTTACTTGCTATAAAAAAATTAAATGGAAAATCTGAGATAGAGGATCGATAGTTTGGCATTTCGACTTATCAGTGGACTTTTCAAAATAAATAGGTATAAAAAAATTATCCTCAATTCGACAGACTGCTTCAGAAACATCCCCATTTAACTTGACAGGGGTATTATGCCGAACCGACCCATCGGACCGGGCCCAAATTTGGGCTCAATAAAGCCTGCCTCATCTACTATGTATGTGTAAAATTAATTATCTAACATGAAAATTAAAAAAGTTATGCTGCATTCATCCGTCGGATTTTTTTCTAAACAGTGTAGCTACGGGCGTATTTCCAACTATTTTTGCAGTAGCGAGAAAACTACAAGTTCAAAAAATTTGAAAAAAATATATGTCGCTTAGAATTGCAATAGTAGTTCGTAATAAAAATAATGGGAAACTTTATCTATTCGTTTTGAAATAAATGGTGAAAAACTACTTTTTTTCAGTTTTTGCGATATAACTTAAAAATGGCGAGTCAAATTTGCTTAAAAAAATTAGGGATTAAAGTATATCGATAACCGTAAAACATAGATTTTTTTTGGAATTTTCGAACACAAGGATCAGAAAATAGGGGTTGACTTTAAACCTTAAAAATTCTATAGAGTTGGATTTTTTGGCTATTTTTGTAACATACATCTTCCATTTCAGATTATAGGTTACTATGACATGACACCTAAACTCATTTATTCCTTCACATGCTTCAGCTAAACATTGTTTATTTTGTAGACATATTCAGTGGTATTTGTTTCAATGCTCAAGGTAGTACATTTTTCTTTATTTATTGGTATTGGACCACACTTCTATAGCTCTGAAATCTTCTTGCAATTTCTTGTGTTCTGCGGCCTTTGCATACAATTTCGTGTCGTCAGCAAAAAGTAGGATTTTGGTTTGGATATTTGATGTCATATCGCTGACATATACTAGAAAAAGTAGAGGGGCCAGTACTGATCCCTGGGGCACCTCACTCTGCACTTTTCTCCTGTCTGAAAATGTTGCTTTTATTTTTACTTAATAGTATCGGTTCAAAAGAAAATTGGATGCAAATTCGTAGCAAGCTCCCAGCAATGCCAGTGACGTAATTTATGCAGGAGATAGCTGTGGCACACCTTATTGAATGCCTTCTCGAAATCGAGATATATCACGTCATCCACTTGCTCGTTATTCTCAAAGTCCCTTGTACAATTGTCCAAGCATAATGTGAGATTGGTTGTAGTAGAACACCCTGGAAGAAAGCTATGATGGTGCTTCAGTAACTATTTCACTACAATTTTTTCCATGCACTTGCGTAGATTGCATGTCAAACTTATTGGACGATAGTTCCATGGACCGGTTTTGTCTTCTTTTTTTCTATATTAGAATCACAAACGATGTTGACCAAGTTTCAGGAAAGTTGTAAGCTTCGCAAATACTTTTCATGAGATCAGACAAGGGTTGGCTCAGGATGGCTGCACAATTTTGCAGGAATACTGCTGGAATTCCATCAGGGCCTGGGCTAAAATCCGTCTTCAACGATTTTATTGCTTCATACACCTTATTAGGAGATAAGTCAATATTGGACATCTGTGAAGTTGCACGCAGGTATTCCGGACTTTATGGCATTTCGTTTTGATTTCCTTTGGTAAATACCTTTAAAAATTGGCTTGCAAAACATTCCACTATATCAAAGTCTTTGGATGATACTGTTTTATTCCCCTTCCTAAAAAAATGTTTTATCTGAACTCTGAGAGGCAATCTTGCATTTATAGTCTTTTCTTGAGTTTCTAATTACATTTGTAAGGTAGTTGTTTTGTTCGCGATATTTTTTGTAACTGTCGTCTGTAGCTGATTTTTTGTATTTGTCCCATAGACCTCGTTCCTTTTCCATTTGTTCAAATATGAACTGGTTTAGCCGCGGTTTCTGTGGGATTGCGTTACATGGTTTCAACGGAATGAACTTGTCTTTAGCATTGTTTAAGATTGACATGCACATGTGGAACGCATCACCCGATGCAGCAAAATTTTGCTCAGCCAGAAAACTATTGATTTTTTCATAGTCGGCATTAAAGAAGTTGCGTTTTAATACGGTTTTCCTTGAACTCAGTTCACACTTTAGTTGACTTTTTCCAATGATGACGACATGGTCGCTTTTTCCTATGGGGGGCTCGGGTTCCAAGTTATATAGCAGTTTCTTATCATTGTGATGAAGACTAGATCAACTAGAGAAACTTGGTCATTTCGGAAATGTGTTCAAAAATCAACCATTTGGTAAGCATTAGTTTCAAGGTAATTGTCCAAAAAAAGTTGATTTTGTTCGTCTGGGTTGGACAGATTGAGATTCTTCCAATCTATATGCTGATAGTTGAAATCCCCCATAATATAAACGGGTATATCCAATGAACATTCATGTTTAATTGAATTAATCATAATATTATCATTTTCCTCACTGGGATAATCCGTTCTGTATATACAAGAGACCAGAAATTTGATGTTAGAGACCTTTACATCAATCCACAATGATTGTATTGGGGCGAATATATTAGATTGATTGTTTACTGTGGAGTATACTTTGTGTCCATTTAACTCATCCTTAACCAAAACACACACTCCACCTCCAGTTTGATTTTCTCTCGGTGGAATACACTATACCTATCTATTTATAAGACCATCAATGATGTTCTTATTAAGTCAAGCCTCTGTTGCTAAGATGCACGCAGGATTATATTTTTGTATTGATATTGACCATTCATTTATTTTGTTGGTAATAGATTGCAAGTTACTGTACCTACCAAAAGGTGATTTCAATCTCCGAACCCTGATTGTTACTTATTAGTTTTTTCGATCTGGTCTGATCTTTATAATTTTTGAAATTAAGTTATAATATTTAATTTTAAGGTTGAACTCACCATTTTTGTAGCGAGCTTTCAGTTCGACTACAACTTCCTTCAAGTACTTCTGTTGAAGGAGAGTTAGATCGTCCTTGATGTATATATTTTTGGATTCATCTAGTTTTTGTTTTTTAAAATTTTGAAATTATCTTCCTTTGTTTCAAACCTAACCTTTATAGGCCTAACTTGAAATATGTTCCGTATGAACTTTTTCAGGAAATGATAATTTGGGACACCAAACCAAGAAGCTGGTTAAAATATTATATATACGGAACATATACTTAGTTATGCTATTAAGGGACAAATTATGGACTGGCTGGTAAACGTCTGGTTGTTACCTAGCAGGTCCTTTCTATGCACTAGCACTAGAGAATAGAAAGTACCTGCTAGGTAACAACCAGACACTTCCCAGTTGGTCCATAATATGGCCCTAAGGCCAATTAACACATATCCAGTAGCTGGCCGCCAGCACTGGAGCAAATAGAGTGTGTCTATTTCTCTTGCCAGTAGGATACCGCAGTGGAAACTCACGATTGACTTATATCCTTTGTTTTTAGGCTGATTGCAATAAACCAGTTTTAATCCAAGGTGATAAGGAAAGAATGCATATGGAAAAAGTTCATCAAGAAGGTGGTCTACGGTACGTGGAACACCAGCATAACACACTCAATAAATTGTCCAAAGAATTGAAAATAGCACCAATGGTTTCGAAAACTGTTGCAATTGCTTAGTGAGAAACATTGCCATTAAAAATTTCACAAAACAAATACTTTTATCATTTTTGAAATAACTTTAAAATAATATATTCATGTATTTTGGCACACATAAACTTTTAACATAAAAATGCCCTAAAATCTAGTATAAATATATTATAAGCTCATATAATATAAAAGGATTCAGAGTACCTTCTTGCCCCTAATAAGATAATACTGGAAAGACCTATGTACCTATAAAAAGCCCGGGTAGAAAGTTGTATTAACATTTGTAATTTGTAGCAGAATATAACAACTGGCATATCATTATATCAAAAGGATCTGAAATGGGTATCACATTTTTGCTGAAATTATCAAAATTATTGCACAAATTAGAAACCCATTCTCCAAAGGTCTTTATTCCAACACACCAATAAACCGTACAATGTATCGTCACGATTCTGCGCAAAGCTAAAAATTTGTGCGTAGAACCCAAAATTCGTATACAGAGTAGTTTTGAAACCGGTCATAGGACGGTTTTTGACGTGTTGGGACAAATTTATTAATAATTTTAAATTTATGCTAATGCGAATAATTACTACATATTTCAATAATAAAGATTAAATACATTAAAGAAAATAATTTTTTAATATAATATCGAATGTCCTTATCACATATTCATTCTTATCAAGCTACCTTGCTTTGCCAAATAAAATCTATAATAAAGAAATATACATCAAAAATAAAAGCCATGTTTCTTAATCAACAGTTAAAGTTTGGTTACAACAAATAGAATTAAAAAATTGGACAATTCCAGGTTTGACGGGAAAAGTGAGCCACTAAAATAAACCAAATCCTAACTATTCATGAAAAAACTGCATCTAAAATAAAAAGCAAACCAGGTAGCTTGTACAGTCTTCATTCCAAAAATAAACTTAAATAATAATACTCCAAGACAGTTAAAAATTCTTACATGGTGAATTGGGAACAAAATAACATAAAGCTGCGACTAGTCTCCATCGATAGGATTTATGGTCCTGATGAATATAGTAAAAGTCCCCAGACCTCTCCCTAGGGGAAACTTCTCAAAAGGGCGCCGCCATCTTGGATTTTTGGCATTTTTTGCTTAATTTACGTTTTACTCGAAAACTACTAATTTTTCGAGAAAATATGAAGAGAGATAAATTGAAAAACACAAAAAAATTTTTGTAAAAAGTTATTTTTGTAGTTACTGGGTACTACCCTTACTGAAATAGGAGCCAAAGAAGTACTGTCAATAAATAGTTTTTTGCCTAATTTTCATTTTACTCATAAATCACTTACTTTTTAAGAAATATAAAGAGACGTAAATAGGAGAGTTAAATCTGAGGTACATAGGTACCACAGAACATCCGCGGTAGTACCCTTACCAAGATAGGAGCCGATGGAGTACCGCCGGATTTTTTTATTTTTCTTTTTGAGAGAAAAGCATTAACAGGAAATTTCAAGAACGTGACATATTTCTGATATGAGTACTCGCGTGCGGAAAGTGTCACTTTTCCGCATGCGATTACAGTTGGCCGAACGATGCGAAGCGGAGTTCTGCCAAGCAATCAAGTGAGGAAAAGAGACTTTCCGCACGAGTATGGATTGATATTTTTTGTACTAGATGAAAATTGATACTTGTATGTACCTCTACTAATTTCAAATACAATTTTAAATATTTTCCCTAGTAATGCGAAAATTGACACTTTCAAAACTGAAATGCGTGCGGAAAGTGGGCTCATCCGCACGCTAGTGAAAACACCTTTCACGGCATTTATTAAAAAACCTCAAGTGTGTTTGCTTCTGAAAATGAAGTTTTTCGCACGCTAGGCTACCGCTGAAAATTGAGTTTTTCACACAGCGCCAGCGTGCGAAAAAAAAACGCACGCTGTTCTATTTTCGCACTATATAAAATCTGTTTTTTTTTTTTAAAGATAAAAGTCAAAATGACATTATGTTGGCAATATCATGTAAAATTGTCAATGCTGCAAATTTTTTATGTAGAAAAGGCTGGTGTTGCCAACATAGTTACTAAATTTTTGACTTGGGGAATTATCTTTAAAAAAAAACAGACTTTATATTCTCTATATTGACTTGACACAAACAGACACCAAAGTGGAGTTGTCAATTTTTGTCAAATTGTTTACGTTTTTTTATAGGCGATTTCGCCCCAGATTTTCATCTGCTGTTTGGTAGGCGAATGGTTAACCAACTGGTACGTATGAGTGACGCAGCTCAACAATGACAACAATCTGGGGTCTTATCTTCGAATATTCTTGCATACGAAATTTGATACGATTTCAAATGCTTCCCCATTTAATTTACAATTGCGAAATGCACTCGAATGGTTTCGAAAATCGCACCTCCGAATTCAGTGGGTAGGGCGTTTGGTACATTTTGACTTTGTTTATGTTTATTTAGACATGGGACAGAAAGAGACAAAAAGCTACCAAACCTCCACTACCCAGTTACAAACCGCAGTCCACCGCCGTATAGCATTTGACAGACCTAAACGCCTACCAAAGTTGTTGTGACAGCATCATTCTCCCATCCGAAATTGATTGGTACCTGTTTGACAGACCAAATTGGGGTACCAAACTGAGGCGAAATCGCCTTATGTGAAATTATTAGTTATTTCCATCAAAATACAATTTTGGTTGCCTTTTTTTTGCAGTTGTAGAAGAAGCATTGTAAAAAACTCGTTTAAAATGTCTTGACTGTGCGAAAAAAGTTGTTTTCAAAACTTGTTGTTTAAATAACTATATTATTGTTATATGTTTGTACCTATCATAACAGAGTAAACAAGTTTCTATATGTATATGTAGTATGTAGATAGAATACATGTTAGTAATAATATGTTTCGTTGATCAAATTTGTTGTATAAAACAATAAAAGTTTCATAAATAAAAAGTGTAACAGAAAAGCTATTCTGAAGCGTTTAAAATGGATTTATATCAGATTTCCTACAAAACGCAATAACATTCAAGTTATATTAGCTTGCATGTGGAAAGCGGTATTTCGGCGGTACTTCTTTGGCTCCTGTCTCAGTAAGGATAGTACCCAGGAAGTTCCGAAATAACTCTTTTTAAAGGTTTTTTTGTGTTCTCCAATTTATTCCTCTTCATATTTTCTCGAAGAATGAGTAGTTTTCGAGTAAAACGTAAATTAAGCAAAAAATTTCAAAAATTCAAGATGGCGGCGCCATTTTGACAATGTTCCCCTAGGGGGAGGTCTGGGGACTTTTAGTATGTTCATCAGGACCATAAATCCTATCGATTTAGACTAGTCGTAGCTTTATGTTATTTTGTTCCCAATAAAATTATAACTGTCTTGGGGTATAATGATAAACTTAGTATTGTCATTTTTAAAAAAATATCATGTTGAATAATAAAACTACGTCATGATTATTAATATTAAAATTTAACAAGGAATTGTACCAACTACTTAGATTAATCAAAATTTGGGAATTTAAAATCAAATTCCCAAGTGTGATTAACTGTCTGGTTTGTTACCCTCATTATTGGGCCCTTTCTTCTGTTTAATTCTCAAAAGGTTTTGTGGATCGGCCAGCGAGTAGGTTTCCGGCTCAAAAATTGGCGGATATTCCAGACCCGGATAATCGACATGAGGTCGCATCGCTATCGGTAATTGTTGCTGGATAGGAGCCTGTTGATATTGGTCTAGTGATGTTGAGCTGGCCGAGAGACGGACAAACTCTGATTTAGGCGAAATCCATCCAGGACTGCCCGTCTCTGGTCCGGAATGTTGTTTCTTAAAAATCGCCCGATGTAATTTGGGAGACCCCAAAAACGTTTTCTCTTTTTTCTCTGACTTGCTGGCGCTGCCACCTCCAAAGATTTTCGTCAATTTTCCGCCGCTACTTTTTGAATGCTGTTTTTCGTCCAAATTGAGTTCAAATGCGAATTTGGGCGTAGATCTTGTGCTATCTGGGAGACTTATGGGTGTGTAATGTATAGCGGATTTCAATCTAGATCTAAGAAAATATAATTAGGATAGTTTTTTAGGTTCGGACAATTTTTACCTAGAAGAATCTCCCACTTTACTAGTAAACCCTGGCAAAGATTTGGAGCTCTTTTTTTCAGCTGACCCAAAACTAGTTTGCCTTTTTACTTTTCCCTTTTTAATTTTTTCATTAGAATCAGCCATCAACATACGATTTTGAGCAAACTGTATATCATTCACTGTCCGTTCTGGACAATAAATCATTTCATAGGATTTTTTCCGATAGGAACCGCTTGTACTGCCGTAGATAAGATTTTTGTCTGAGGAGTAATGCAGGTTGGAGAGGGTATATTCGTCACATTCTCTGTAAAAAAAGTTTATAATCCCATTCTGTAAATTGTGTACACATTCACCTTTTGCTGCTCTCCTGCATCTTTAAAGTCCTCGGCAAGCTCCTATTAGATTTAGATTCCATACCCTTAACTGATTTGGGATAAGTGGCCATTTTTTCCCCTTCAGCACTATTACTGTCCATTAGTAACTTTTGATTACGCTTAAGGGAGCCCAGCCGTTTGCCAAAACAAGATGAACTGCTCGACTCGTGCTTTTCTGATTGTGACGAAGATCGAGTCAGTGGAGGTGGAAAAATATCATCTTCTTGTTTAGTAGCTCTTATTGGTACTTCTCCTATTATCAAAGAAACTTAAAATTAAAAAAATAATAAAAAAATAAAAACTTGCCATAAACAACATCCGGTTTAATCATATTCAAATTATATTGTCTCTGCTCAAACTCATTGTGAGGATTTTTTCTGCTCTCTTCCGTTTGCCGAATCATTAACTCCTCCAAGGTAACAAAACCAGCTAAACTGTTGTCGTTTTTAACTCCCCTATTAGAATTATTGTCCCCAGCTGCAAGGCTGGGGTTGCTAGTGTGTACGTTAACAATGGGAGGCGCTCGCAGCAACATTTGGTGCTCAGAAATAGTCAGATTAGGAACGCTACTGTTTTGTGATTGGGTAATTAGATTAGATGAAGGGCTGCCACTGAAAATGGGTACGTGAGACGTGAAATTGCCAGTGCGCACGCTAGCGTGGCTTGGTTCATTGCGGATTTTTCTGAAATGTAAATAATTTGTACAGCAAATAAATATTAATTGATTTTTTTACCTATAAGATCTAAATTGAGCCGTTGGTACTGGTACACTAGTCTTTGGCGATGCATTCCCGCCACTCTTATTAAAAAACCACTTCCTATCCAAACTAGTACTGCCTGAGTGAGTACTAGCCTCTTTTTTCATCCCAAACTTCTTCAACGACCCAAACTTCTTCAGAGAATCACTCTTATCCGACTGCGGATTTGACCGAGCCTTGGATTCAGTATTATCAGAATCGTCATCTTCACTTTCTGAATACAGTTGTCTGCCTTCAGAAACTTTTGTCGAAGGATCGTATTGTTGACAAGCCGAGGGGATTAGATCCAGCCAAGCTTGTAGAGTATCGGCATCTTCTGCTGAAAAATAGAAGACCGTGCCTGTGTGGTAGACTTTGAAGGCATTCAAACGGGATTTGACCTAAAAAAAAAGCGCAAAGTGAGTAAAAAGCTTCTAATCAGCGGTCAGCAACCAATCAGAAGCTACAATAACAATAATTGGTTTGATAAGGACAATATCATACATATTGAAAGGCAGAGTCCCAGATGAAATACCTACGATAGTTCTGCAAAACTGCGGCGAATCGATTATGTAGTTCTTGACTAGCTAGGCTATGCAGGAGTGCTTAACACTTGGAAAAATTCCACACCAATATAGTGACTACGCTATTCGAAAACGGTGATCGACATAGACCAGAAAACTATAGGCTTATCAGTCTAACATGCAATCCACTAAAATGCATGGAAAAGATAATTGGTAAAGAACTGACAGCGTTACATACTCACAACACGAATTTCTCTCTAAACGTTCTACAACAAAAATTTACTAGAATGTCTTCAAGACTGGACAACCATGATAATTCTCAACCCACAGATTTATTTCAAGTATGAGAAGGCATTCGACAAAGTCCCACATAATCAACTTCTAGGAAAGTTGAAACACTTTGGAGTGAGAAGTCAACTCATTGCAGTAATACAGGCCTACTGCACGAGAGATTATATCAAGTTAGAGTAAATGGTGTGCTGTCAAACCAAAATCTTGTTAGTAGCGGAGTTGTCCAGGGTTCAGTCATGGGCCCTTTTCTTTTCACACCATATTTGTTTGATCTCGTCTTCGCAGATGAAGAAAAACTTTATACAAATCCGCTAGTACATGCAGGGCAACTAAAGACTGATTTAAAAACTGTTGAAGAATGGTCTATGGATTGGAGAATGAAGTTGAATGATGAATTACAATCTCTGACAAATCAAAATGACCTAGAAGTCGTGATAACTTCAGATCTGAAATGGGAGAACCTCGGGGAGAACCACATTTTAAAGATTTCCAAAAAGCCAATTCCTTAATATACCCCATTAAACAAGCATTTAAAGACCACTCAATAGAAATGATAGGCAAACTGTATAAAAGTAACATACGACCACAACTTGAATACACTTTCTCCTTGTGGAATCCCTACTATGTCAAAGATATAGAAGCTTTAAAGAAGATATAAAGACGAGTTACAAAAATACCATTAGAACTACAAGACCTTCCATAAAAAGAAGATTGACAAGACTAAAACTAACAATTTTAAAGGAGAGAAGACTTAATCGAAACATACAAAATAACCAGGGATGTTCCGAGAGAATTTGTAAATGTGCACTTGACAGTATAAAAAGTGGGCATATCTGACACAAAATGTGCATCCCCCTTGTTTTGCTTTTCAATGTTGCTGGTTGCCAATATGCAAGGATGATACACACTACTACTACAGGATGGCCTATCCTCATAAGGCCTGTGTGTAACAAATCCCCCCTTCCCCCCTACGCCAAACAACCAGTTGTGACGTAAGCAGCATGGCGTTTCTTGCCTTGACGTAGGCTGTTCAAACAGATGACGACTTAGTTATGACGTCGGCAATGGTTGAAAACCAATATGGCGGCGATTACCAAAAACGAGGCCGATAAGCACTCCTTGTGCCCGTATTACATCTGTGTATTTTTCCGTGTATTTATTCATGTAGTTCAGGGTGCCAACATTATTTTGTTTTTCATAATGCTGATTTATGTTCCGTTTGAAGTTTTTCGGTTGTCACCCTGAACTACATGAATAAATACACGGAAAAATACACAGATATAATACGGGCATTAGAGAGTGTATTCTCCTTGGCAATATGTATGTTTATTCTTACAACGTTGCCAGTTCCGATTGCCAATATTTTGTATTTTCATTGTCGATTGTCGAGCAGAGGCTGAACTGAGCTGGGATCGGCTGGGCAATAGAGTACTAAGGATGATACACACCTACAGGATTGCTTATCGGTCATCAGCTGTTTCAACAGCCTACGTCAAGGCGAGAAATAACATGCTGCCTACGTCACAACTGATGATTTGGATTGGGAAGGTGAGGGGGGATTTGTTCCATACAGGCCTTATGAGGATAGGCCATCCTGTAGTAGTAGTGTGTATTATCCTTGGTGGCGTACAAGTTAGTAGAGTGTACTGAGTGTAGAGTATGGGAGTATGTATACAGTACAGTGTACTTACACTCAGTACAAATTTTCTGAAATGAAACCCCAAATTCAGAATATTTTGTGTTCTATTCATTGACTGAAAAATTGTGACACATTTATTCTAGAAGTCAAAATGTGCATATCTAGAGATTGGGGTGCATACTGTGCATATAAATCGAAAGTGTGCATCAATATGCACAATTGTGCAATTTGGACCATCCCTGAAAATAACCAGTAACTATCAACCACCAACCATCCACCAGCATCGAGCTTGAGGAAGCGGCTAATAAGGTTTGTTCAGTGTAACCTGCACCAAAGTAGGGCGGCTTTGGCAACCTTATGCCGCCACCTGGATGTGGCACAGGACACAATAGCACTTATACAAAGTAAAATTATATGTTTAAGCACACTAACTAGTCGAGTTTTCAGCAACCTCAGCAATAACCAACCTAGGTCGGCCATCTATTGTCCCAGGTCATACACAGCCCACCCACTGACACTGCACGTCAGACCTAACTGCTCGCCTAAAACCACAAAACCTTATCGTCACCCGATAAAAACTAATATTGCATAGTACGTGCAAGGTCTGGAAAGGGCTCTACGAAAGTTTGCAGTTAAAACACCCAATGATGACCAAGAATTGGAGCAGTATGCCAATACCATCCAAGGTGCCATCATAAAATCCTATAAGATGTCGAGCCCACTGAGTATGTTCCAAAACTCTGGTAACACCTCTGCTTGGTGGTGTCAAGAACTGGAACACCTCAGGGCGACGACAAGGAAAGCTTTCAATAAAGCTAAAAACACCAAACTACCTGAGGATTGGAACCTCTATAGGTACCAACTCAACCAGTATGAAAAAGTCGTACGACAAAAACAAAGAGATGCCTGGAGGACATACTGCAACGAAATGGAAAACTATACGGAAGCGGCGAGACTTCAGAAAGCTTTTAATAAAGACCCATTTCAATATCAAAGAAATTTTTCTACAAAACCAAAACTATCTTCATGGGCACTGCAAGAGACTTGAAAAAGAAAAAAATGCAAAACTACTTTAAACTTTGTGAGCAACAGAGTTGTTTATTCATAGAACACCCTGGAAGAGCAGACAGTGTCAGCACCAAGTGTAAACGCGTTCAGAAATCGACTAGACAAAGAACTGGAGAATAGTGTATTTAGAATGATACACTACAGTGCATAAACAGTTTTCAATACACCTACAAGAAAAACAGATTTTCAAAAGCAGCAATAGCATCATTGGTTTTACCGCCTGCTATTGGACAAATTACATGATTACACTACTTAGGCCCGGTTTATTCATCTTCACTTAAAATTGTTGATAATTACCTGCAAGATAACTTTACCCTTCTATATTCCTATTGGTCGGCGGACCAATGGGATTACAGATTGGGTTTTTATCTGTGAAATTGCATACCTGCCAGATCAGAAAGTGAATAAACCGGCCCTTACTGACTGAAAAAAGAAGTAAAATATGATTACGTACCTCACTGGCAACTGCCACCGTAAAATCATGTAAAAATATCAAACACTTGGCTCTGGGATCCTCCTTGTTTTTAAATCCGTACAAACAGTTGCTCAAAAGCACAAACCACCGTTTTTCCCAATGAACTTGTTGGGTGTGTTTGTTGCGTAGCCTTTGATACAACTGCCCTTGAATGTCCGCAGGAGTAAGATCGTTTACTGTTACTTTTCTGCGTTCTAAAAAAACATAAATATAAAATCCTACTATCATTAAAAGAAAATACTCACTGGCAATTACACTGTTCTTTTTTTTGGCTGCCATCTTGCCTTTATTTGACGAAATCATCGCTTTGACAATACTATTAGTTGGCGAAACTTTACTTTCCAACCCACTGCCACTTTTACTATCTCCGCTCCTGTTGAAATTCCCTGGAGAAGAAGAATCTCCAGTATCGTCAATTTTATTATATTTCATTGGAGTAGATGAAGATCTAGGTGGCTCAAACAATACATACTTTGTCATACTTTTTTGCTCAATTATTTGTTGTTGCTGTTTGATTTGGATGGGTATCAAGTACTCATTCGAATCGATACTTTGGCTACTGCCAAAATCAAACGTTTTTTTTGCCTGGTAAGATTTTGGTTTGGGACTGTCAGCAGGGTAGGCAGGTTTGGAACTATCGAAGGATTTTCTTGGAGGTGGTTTTGGTGGCAAGTCCTCGACAACTGTCACAGGCTCTTCTATGGTTTGTATCTCGATTTTTATTTTTGTTGAGGTTGGGGTTTCCTCACTTGGTGGCACAGCTTCATTATCTTTGAATAAAAAGCTTTCAGATTCTTTAGCCATTGGTGATGTTTCAGTAATAGTTTCTGGAATTTTTGGAATGACGTCAGGCAGTTTAGCAATTATAGGCTTTTGCAGATCTAATTCTGAAGATTCTTCTGTTAAATCATAAGCGGGTGTACTATGGCTCTTATCTAATCGACCTCTGAGTTTAGTAGTGACACTTCTAGGTGGTACTGCTGGTTTATCAGGTTTCTGAGGCACTTCTGGTGGTTTTTTACCCAAGGTACTTCTAGGTAAAACTCTTGGTTTAAATTGGTTTGGTTCATCGAATTTTTTAATCATATTATGCACATTGATTTCAGTTAGTATCGGGTCTTTGATAGGAGATAAGGAAGTTTGGATAAAAGTATCTGTAATTGAAGTTTCCTTTACTAAATCTGATACCATGTTGCTCCTGTCTGTTAAATCTTTGCCTTCATCGATAAAACTTATATTTTGATTAGTTACACTTGATAAACTATTAATACTGACACTTTTCTCTTCACTTAAGTTAGTCTTAGTTTCCAATAAATCCACCTTCTTACTCTCTTGTACTAAACTACTATCAGCCAATTTAGTTTTCATTGTACCTTCCTCTTCAAAATTCACTTTCTTCCTAGCAGTTTTACTGTTAATAATTTTCTCTTCTCTATTCTTGGATTTATTGAAACTGTCTTTAAAACTCTTCTTTCGGCTTTGACTTTTCTCCAAGCCAATCACGGTGGTCGGTCTGGGGCTTGAGTCTAGGCCAACGTTGCACGACAAACTTTTGTCTCTAATAAACTGAGAGTCATCCTCAAATTTGTTCCTATCTATGTGGTATGTACTGTGCGCAGTGGCGCTATTACGGGATTGGAGTAGGTCCCAGTACTGAAAAAAAAAAGGAAAATTAGTTTTAAAATTTGCAACAAATTAAGGTAAATATTTTCAAGGCTTCTCAATGAATTAGGCTGAGTCCTAATTAACAAGCACAAAAATCAATTATTAATCTATTTGATTAATTGAAAATTCTATTTTTCAAAAATCAACAAAAGGTATCATTATAAAATTTAACCAATGTGTATAAACACGATAATTTCAATAGCCACCCAAGAGAACAAACACAACACTACTTCAAGGATATTTTGATTAAAAAGTGTTTATTCTCCATGTCTAATAATAATAATTAATTAAGAATTAAAAGTTGAAAGTACAAAACTCGATTATGATTGGCATAATATGACGAGTGTTAAAATTGAAATAATGAATAAATGAACGAATGAACTTTTCTTAAATATAAGCTCTATGCACAAATTTATTTCTTGTCAGTATGATATGAATTTTAAAATTTGATATTTATGCACTTTCTTATATTTAAGGATTTTTGTTTATTTGAGACACTTACATGACGTATTTTGTTTAAAATAACTGCTTGTAAATCGAACACCTCATTAAAAATTTCAAATTTTCAATAATACATAAACTAAGACTCAAACAATTTATGAATGTTGTATATATTCGCGTATGCATTATTATCTTTATGTGTGGTACACAGGATGCAAGGGAGACTTTTAAGATATCCACACTCCGATAAATAGTTGAATTGGTTCCGTTTTTAAACAGAAATGAGATAGTTTGGTTATCAACGCTTGTTTAAATACAATTTATTTTATCAGGCGGCGAGAAAAAAGGCACACAGTTGTCCTTTTACGGGTTAATGTGTCATTCTTTTATTTACTTAGTTGAAATAGTAATTTTTAGTCTCGTTTTTATCAATGGACACATTTTTGTAATGAGATTTGAGAGTCAACGCTATTAAAAATTTTATTTCCTACTGAACTATTATAACCATATAATACCTTGGTTACGATAATCATAAACAGGGTCTTAACTCCCAAGGAAGTTAAGGATTTCATAACTCCCGCGCGGGAGTTAAAGATATCATAACTCCCACGGGAGTTAAGGATTTCCATAACTTCCGCTTTTACCTTGAATAGGTGAAATTTTGACAAAAAATAGAAATCTTGGTTTATGGTTTATTCCTTTACAAAAATAGACAAAATACAGTAAATTCAGTAGGAAATAAAATTATCTATGTACCACGGGAATTATCAGGTGTTAATACCCACGGGCAATTGGTGTCCCTCGGGCCGAAGGCCCTCGGGACACAAACTTTGCCCTGGGGTATTAACACCCTTATAGTTCCCTTGATACATAAATAACTATAAATTCATTAGAAAATAAAATATCACAATCTTTGAGAAAAGAATATGAGGAAAGAGAAGAGACATTGAAAGAAATTTCCTTAAGTTTGGTAAAACTTAAGGAAATTTCTCAAAATAACCAATCAGTGGCAGAGTTAAAGCTGTAGCCAATAAATGAACATAATGAAATTAAAAAGAGATTAAAAATAAATTAATGGAAAAAGATAGTCGTTATAATGAGTTAAAAACTAATAATTTTGGACTAATTGAAGACAGTGATAAATAAAGAAAATATGTGACTTATTTCAGAAAACAAGTCTCTTAAATTGGAAATAGTTATACAAATATGTACAAACAGAAAATAAATAGATTACAGGCAAATATAAAAACTTTAGGAGAAGAACTCAGCCATTTAGAAAAAATATCTGAAGAAGAAGAATCATAAAATGTACAATTGACAAAAGAAAGTTTAGATTTTGAAACATGTAATGTTAAATTGCTTCAAATGTAATAACTTAATGGAAGAAAAATTGAAAACTCTTGTTTGTTTCAAGCTTTAGAACCTTGCCTTAAAGAACAATAAGATGCATTTTTGAAATTAGGGTACATGCAAAAAGTATCATTTCAAAATCTTCCTGAAGGCAGATACTACATACCACACCAAGCAGTATTTAAAATGGGCAGTACAACCACAAAACTACGAGTTGTTTTTGATGCTTCCAGTAAATCAACATCTAATGTTAGCCTAAATAATCTGATGCTTACTGGTCCGAGACTCCCACACAACTTAGCTGAAATCCTGCTAAGATGGAGGCAGCATAAGGTGCAGCAAATTTTTACAGCCGATATAGAAAAAATGTATCGAAAGATGAAAATCCATCGAAATAAACCTTACCAGAGAATTTTATGGCGATCTGACATTGAACACCGAAAGATTGAATACGAGCTAACCACTGTCACATATGGAACATGTGCACCATACCTAGCCATTAGGACTTTACAAACATTAGCAAAATCTGAAGAAACGAAGTATCCTATTGCAAGCAAAATCACCTTACGAGACTTTTACGTAGATGATGTCCTGTCAAGTGCCAATGACCTAGAATCGGCAATAAAAATTCAACAACAGTTACTCAATATGATGCAATCTGCTGGTTTTAATCTGAGAAAATGGACCAGTAACAATCCAGCCCTTCCCAAATCGCAACAAAACCAAACCGTCCTAGAGTTATCCAAAGATGACATCCAAATATCACTTGGTGTATTTTGGTTGCCTTATGATGACAACTTCATGTTTAAAGTTACCACATCACCAGAGAGTCTAATAACAAAAAGGCACATCCTATCAGTAATATCAAAAATTTTCAACTTCACGGATTTTGCGACGCCTCTGAAAAGGCCTATGAAGCTGTGATCTACAGCCGAACAATGACGACTGAAGAGAACATAGCTGTCACACTTCTCTGGGCAAAATCAAAAGTAGCCCCAGTGAAACTAAGAACAACGCTATCAAGACTTGAACTCTGTGTAGCACACTTATTAGCAAAAATGATAAATGTAACTATTTCGACACTAGGAATAGAAAATATAGAAACTTTCGCAAGATGTGACTCCATGATAACGTTAGACTGGATAAAAGGCCAGCCCAATCGATGGAAAACATTTGTTGCCAATCGCGTGAGTGATATAAATAGATACATAGACAGCAGTCACTGGAACCACGTAAGAACATCCGAAAATCCAGCAGACGTTATATCCAGAGGGTCCAATTCAGAACAATTAGCAAACAATCTCCTGTGCTGGAATGGACTAGCATGGCTTCATAGTCATGAACCACCACCAAAGGAATACCCGGAACAGACCAAGAAGCTAAGAAAACCATAAAATGTTTCCAGGTTAAAATACAACTCACAGAAACCATATTCGACCGATTCTCCGACTTGACCAAAATGATAAGAATATTAAGCTACTGTCGAAGAGTCTTCCACAGGTCCAACAAACCAATATTATCTATCGAAGAAACAAGAAAAACCTTCCAAGAAGTTATCAAAGTGATCCAAAACTGCGAATTTCTATCTGAGATATCATTCATTAACACAAAGAAAAATGTGGAGAAATCAAGCAAAATATACAACCTAAGCCCATTTATTGACTGGGAACAAATCCTACGAGTTGGCGGAAGATTACAAAATTCAGAGTTACCATACAGTCAGAAGCATCCTTCCTATAAAACTACCAAGTCAAAATAATTTGAGCAAACTAATAATAATGGACCACATCATAAAACCCTGCATATCGGAAACCAAGCAAAGCTGGCTTACCTTAGAAGAAAATACTGGATTATCAATGGGAAGAAAACTGTAAGAAGCATCTTGAGCAAATGTATGTGTCAGGTACAAAGCAAAAACCTCAGAACAGCAAATGGGCCAATTACCTGCCACAAGAGTCACGCCATCCTCACCATTCATTAACAGTGGAGTAGACTATGCCGGCCCTATCAAAATCAAAGCTATTATACTAAAGGAAGAGGTCATGAGTCATATAAAGGCTATATTGTATGTCTTTTCACTAAGGCAATACACCTAGAAGTGGTAAGCGATATGACGACCGATTCGGTCTTAGCAGCCTTCTGGAGATTTACTGCGAGAAGAGGTCACTGTGAAAATATATACAGTGATAATGAAACAAATTTTGTTGGGGCAGCACATTATTTTGAAGAAGAAGTTCTCAAATTAACTCAACGCCAATCCCTACAAAATACAATGGTCAAACTTGGCACTAAGTGGCACGGGGAAGCTGGAGTCAAGTCAATGAAGCATCACCTCGAACGAGTAATTGGAGAAACAACCTTCACGTATGAAGAACTGACAACTTTGTTACACTAAATCCAAGCAAGCCTCAATTCTAGGCCGTTATGGCCATTCTCTGAAGAAGTAGACGACTATTTTGTCCTAACTCCTGGTTATTTTTTAATTGGAAGGGGAATATTATCTCCAATTGACCCAATAGTAAGTAATATAAATTCCAGTTTGTCAGAGAAATGGAGGCTTACCCAAAAAATGAAAAAGGACTTCTGGAAAGTTTGGAGCACAGAATTTTAGGAAGATTGCAACAAAAATATAAATGGCAAAATCAGAAAACCAACCATAAAAAAGGAATCATGGTAGTTATAAAAGAAAATACAATAAATCCCAGCCAATGACCCTTAGGACGCGTAACAGATGTTCATCCTGGACGAGATGTCGCAGTAAGAGTAGTCACACTTAAGAAAGCAGACAGAGCTACATTGAAACGAGCGATACATTCATTGATCCCACTTCCATTAGAAGAAATAAGAAAAGAAACACTGACCAATCCCACTCAGGTTACAGCTTGAGGAGTTGTACCTTTGTCTGAATGAATCCGAGGTTGCTGCAGCGGTATTCTGTGACTTCTCAAAGGCTTTTGAACCACAGAATACTGCTGCGAAAACTGTTTCATTGTGGCATCCGGAATACTTCTTTGGATTGGTTCGGTTCAATGCTTTCGGGGAGGTCCCAGTTTGTACGTCTGAATGGTGCCGACTCGGCGAGAATGGAGGTTGAGCATGGGGTCCCACAGGGTTCGGTACTGGGGCCAATTTTGTTCCTTGTTTATGTTAATGATTTCCTTTCGTTACCGATCTCAGCTAAACTCACTGCCTTTGCT